TATACTTCTAACTAGTTTAACCAGCAGAGATAAAATGGTGATTTAACAATGAAAGTGAAAAATTTTCAGACAATCGTGTGTTCAAAATAAATTATTTATGTTCTGTTAGTTGCCATTTAATTGCTATCTAAATAGAATAATTCAAAAATTTTGTAAAATGAAGAACATAATTTATGCACTCATATATTTTATTGATATGAAACTTTCATGATAATGGTGGGATTATTACAATATAATTCGTTCTGTTAATAGGTCTTAAAATCACTAAGATACGTTTTTTCATTTATGCTAATTTTTAATAAATTTTCTTTATTAAATTTCATTAACTTTACTATCATGTATAAATTATGCGTGTAAGTGCGTTAGATCATTGATTATTAGTGATTATTAGAGTGTTGAGCTGGATTTTCAGTGGATAATTAGGAGAAAGATGCGATAAATATAAAAGTTAAGATAAGTGAGAAAAAGGTTTGAAAAATTCAGTTTGTTTCTTGTATGTAAGTTTGAAAGCTTCTTGATAAAATGTTATAATAGAGAGCGTGATAAGCAATTTCAATTCTTAAGCAATTTTGTATTATTATATTTTATTGATATGTTACGAAAAAACATTAGGCCCTATATCGCTTTAAAGTCATAAATTATAATATGCTTGTTTTTGTTCTTTTAAATTAATAATTCTAATATATGTTTTTATAAAAATTATAAATATTTCATTAAAAAAGTCGTTAATAAGTACGAAAAATATAAAAATATTGTGTTAACTTTAATTTTTTTAGTTAATAAAAAATGATTTAAAATTATTGTGTTACTTGTGTGAGGCGTATGTAAAATTTATTAATTGCAATACTGTAAAAAAATTAAAACATAAAAATTTAAATCTATAAAAAGATTAAATAAAAAAATTAAATATACTATAAAGAAATTAAAAATTAAATTGTCTATTACTTTTCTCGTGTAAAATTAATAAATGTGTAAAATCAATAATTATTATGTCTCTTGATATGCATAAGCAGATATTTCAAAGACGTTCAAGTGTGTGTGTTTGCAATATTTATATTAAAAATGTATGTAAGAGAAAGTAAAATATGTAACGAATGAAGTTTGTAGTAATATAATAATGGCTTAATATGCAAAATTAAATACCATATTGCCGCAAAATAAAAGAATATATAATGTGTTTTTTTTTATGCCAGACATGTTATTCTTGTGCTATTTTTATTTGATCAAAATCTCATCTACGTTATTTAAGTCGAGCTTTATGTAAGGAAGAAATACGTTAAACTTACAGTTGTAGATACATAAGAATAAAAGATTAATTGATTTTTAAATACTAATTAATTTATAAATTTATGTAATACTATAAAATATTAAAATTTATTAAAATTTTTTTCTTCACTCTAAAATCCTCTTAGAATTTTTAGCATTGCAACAAAGTTGCATTCAAGAATGTATATTCTTAAGAAAAATTAATATATTAGTAAATTAATAAATGAATTTCTATGTTATTACAATAATTATTAATTGTTCAATAACAAATAAACAAATTGTAATATTAAAATTAAAATATGTATAGTATCTAATATACACAATAACACATATAGCTACTAAAAATATCTCTAAATTAAGTTAAGCATTACGCATTTGTATTCAAAAGCAATAATGTGTATAAACATTAATGCATTTATCGTTCATCAGCGAAAAAACTTTTCATCAGCGGAAAAAAGAAAAATTATATTATCATAGAATATAAATATTACAAAAAATATTGATGGTAAACGCAAATATTTTAACTGTACACTAATGTTACATAATAGCTACATCTAAGATAATCGTACGCAATTATTAATGTCACATGAATGAAAATTTATTAATTACATATTTTTTTCTAATATTAGGTGTAGTAAAAAGAAATCCATTATTTTAATAAAATTGAATGGAAAAATAATGGATTTCTTTTTACTACACCTAATATAAAGTTGTTACTTTATAATTAAGCGATTTGATTCATTAGCGATCGCTAATGAACCAAAAGTCAGAGATACAAAGAATACGAAATGGTATAAAAATGTGATAACTATTCTTCGATTTTGAACGAAAATAATTTGAAGATAAGCGGATTAAACTCATCTCGGAAATCTCATTTTTGTTTTCAAGAGCCAATTACAATATAAATGTTATGCAAACAGAAGTCAGATAATCATAATTTGCTGTCTTTTTCTGCGAAAGGATCAGATGTTGTATTTTGCAGATGAACAGTGTACTACAGAAAATATATTTCTAACCAATTCAACCAACAAAAACGCATGATGCTTTTTGATGACACAAATAAAAGTCGCTTGTTAATAAAACAATATTTGAAATAAATTCAAAAATCTTGTATATAAGAATATATATACGAAATACATATAGTGGGTGTTTAATAATATGTGGACATACATTCAGAAACAGATTTAAGGTGTAGATAGATCCATAAAACATCTCTCCTATTTGACATTGTTTACCAGTTACAAACGTTTTCACATTGCAAACCAAACTAACGTTCAATATATATTCAGAGGAAGTGTTTACTGATAGTCAGTAAGAAGACACGTGAATGTGAGAAAGTGTGATGTCGATATGCTGGCTGAAATTGTAACGAAAATTAGTGATACGAAAACGTTTATAATTCGAAAAAGTTAAATAACAAAAATATCTACATGAAAATTTTTAATTATTTATACGTTCTGAATTCATTTCTAGCGTTATGTCCATCCAGGATATTATAAAATAAAATTATAAAATTCGGTGTAAAAAATAAGACTTAAATATAAGAAAATTTAAGTAAAAATAGTTCTTCCTTATTTGCTAATCGATTTCATGCAAAATAATCTTTATTGAAATTTTTTAAAAATAATATATGCAAAATTTATATTTTATATGTTAATGTATATATGATGACATTTTCATAAATGCGATTTGCTTTACAACGATATTTCTGCGTACAGTCTTGCATTGTTATATTTATTATCTATTAGAAAAAAAAATTGTAGTATATTATCAAATATCTAACAATTATCATTTTTATGATCTTTAGATAGCGCTCTCGATATTTTCTCCTATAGACAATGCTTTAAGTACTTCATATCTTTAGAGAGGGGATAATTAGGCGTAATTCGATACGACTGATGAGTGAAAATGGAAACGGCAAGAGCGTAAGTGACAAATATTTATAATTAAATTTATGCGAAAACTATTGAAATGTTGGTACGATAAATGAAATTTTGTTATTAATATTTTAGAAATCCAAAATCTCTTATTTCAACAAAAAATATTTTATTATTTTTTATTTATTTATTTATACATTACTGCATAATATAAAACCAGATAAAAAAGTTTTTATAAAATATCATCTATATCTTTTTCATTAAAGATAATATTCAAATGTTTCTCAATTCTAACATGTTTAGATCCGACAACAATAAGATAAATTTTGTAATTAATGGAATACCGTATTCGGGTATGTATTCTTTGTATAAAATATATAACCAAGAAAATAAAAATTTTTTGAACATATCTTTAAAAGATAAAGTAACATCCCAGCAAACACAATTTCCATGTAACATTATTTGTAATTTACCACTCAACGATATAACTGTAATATAATATGTGTGTTATATAACAGATATATTGTTGAATGAGAAATTACAAATAACATGTACATAAAATTTGTTTGATGGAATGAGATATAAAGAAACTCCAAATATATTTTTAAAAAATCTAATCAAAAATTATAACATTTATTTACTATATAAAAAAGGTCTATCACGTTTATATAAGAAGAATTAATCATATAAACTGTATTATACAGAAATTATAAAACTTGATTATAGAATTATGATTAAAAAGTTTAGAAATAAAAGATAATATGTTAGAATTTTATCAGTCGATTCAAAAATCGCTTTCAGTATCCGATGATAGTATACCCGTCGACACGACTCTCCTTGTCTTTATCCGTGAATATGCGAAATTTCGAGGCACAAAAGCGATGTGCCATGCAGGTGATTGCGGTGCTTGTGTCGTAAGTGTAATATTCAAGGATAAAACGATAGCCGTAAATTCCTGTCTTGTATTGGTACTAACCTGTGACAGGTATGTATGTATGTATGTATGTGTATGTATTAAAGAGAAACTAACATTCAAACTTAAATTCTAATTTCTTAATTAAAATGTTAAAGATTTATATAATGACATTACGAGCATCCACAAAACTCTCGTCTCTCACAAGAAATTATTCATCAAAATATTAAAATCTCTTTTTTTATTCATGTTTACCTATTTCATTTTTTATATTCAATTTTTTAATTTCTGGATATGCCAAATATATGTTAATATTAACTAATATTTTATATCATAAAATGATACAGATGGAATATTGTAACGATTGAAGATCTAGGTAACAAGCGAGACGGTTATCATGCAATTCAAGCTACACTTGCTAGAAAAAATGGTTCACAATGTGGATATTGCTCTCCTGGCATGGTGATGAATATGTACAGGTACGAATTATTAAAATTGCTAATTAATTTTTATGTTAAAAAAATATTATATTTCGGACATATTACTTTTCTACTTTTATGATAAAATCCTTTCAGAATTATCGGATGTTAAAACAAAGTCACATACAAAAAAAGTACCCTTAAAAAATTAACATATTGTACATGTAATTATATTAGAAAAAATCGCTATGATTGTCCCATAATAAACAAACAAATTGTAACTTAAAATTACGCATAAACTCGTACAATACTGCTATGTATAGTTCAAGTACAAATAACAATTAAATATAATTGAATTATATTTATAAAGAATTATATTTATAAGAACTTTGCGTTAATAAATTGATACCTATATTTTGCAGTCTCGGGAAAGATTTGTCTATGCAGCAGATTGAAAGTTCATTTGGTGGCAATATTTGTCGATGCACCGGATATCGTGCAATTTTGGATGCGTTCAAAGGATTTGCCACCGACGCACATCCATCAATGGTGAAGGACATTCAAGATATTG